AAACGTAAACGTAACGTAACGTAAACGTAAACTAAAGTAACGAACGACGACGACACACTACACGACACAACTAACTACTACACGTAGATACGAGTAGACGAGAGAGAGAGAGAGAGAGAGAGAGAGAGAGAGAGCATGTACATTACCTTCAAATATATATCAATTGCACGATACAACCCATCATCCAAAGGCCTGGCGTACTCAGGCACCGCTGCCGCCAGTGCCTGAAACTTGGGGAGCTTCAAATTGATATCAGGCGCCACCTCCGCCAAATAGCCATCAACAAGCTTCGCAACAGTGGTAATTGGCGTCAAAGATGGTGAACCCATGAGCCTCTCATCCTCTATAGAGCAAGTAGGGGAAATCCCTCCTCCTCCACTTGCCTGATCCATCTTCAGAAAATGCTCTAAAATCCTTTGCACACATTCAACATCATAAAGTGTGTCAACTGAATAAGAAAAATTTGGCATCAAAAGATCCTCTAAAGTGGCTTGGTCGAGTTGCCATCCTATTCTTCTTTCTAAATTTGCCTTACAATTCTGGCTAGCATTTATGATCATGGCGGTTCGAAGCAAACCAAATAAGAATTTCGTTGATGTGACACCCTTCTCAGAGGGTAACAATGCCTCGATTTCTTCAACTAAGACTCTTTGCTCGTCTTCTGAAGGGGCGGTGGGCCCTGAACCCATTGATACGAGGCGCGTGCTATTCTCGCTTATGCTCTGTCGCCTGTTGAGCCCAGGTAAATACCTAAAGGAAAAAGAAAGAAGATTGATTAGTGTGCTTGTTTAGGAAAGTATACAGTTAACACCATCCGTTCAAATGGTGCATGGTGATGGAGAGAGAGAGTAGAGGGCACCAGAGCAAGACATGTCCACAGGCCCTGAAGTTGGGTCATCACCTTCCCATGAATGATAGATAATGATGGAGAAAGTGGACAAATAAGAAAAAGACATGACTTCTAGATGGGTTCTGCCCTCTCTGGTGCCATCCACATGAATAGGTGATGATGACACCAATAGGCTAATTCCCATGGTCCACGGATTTATAGCATGGAAAAGTATAATATAATCCATTTTGTTTACAGTAGATCGTGATAACATGAGGTCACAAGCGTTTTCATCATCCATCAATATGTTGAACAGTGAAGGAGTGTAGGGGTGGCAATGGGTCAGGTCAGGTATGGGTCGGGGTTCGGCTGAACCCCAAAATATACTGTGGGACTGGGACCCGAACCTGAATTGTTTATAAGGGGCATGGATATATATTTAAGTATATTTCATAAATATGTTAAATTCGTATATGTATTATTTTAAATATTATAACTATAAATACATATTTAAAACAAATTGATACCGATGAAGCTGAAAGGGAAGTTCTATAGGACAGATGTGAGACCAACTTTGTTTTATGGGACGAAAAGTTGGACGGTCAAGAAACAGCATACTTATAGATGAGTGTAGTTGAGATGAAGATATTGAGATAGATGAGTGCCAAGACAAGAATGAATAGAACTTGAAATGAATACATTCAAGAGAACTTAGGTGTGGCTCCAATAGGCGATAAGATGAGAGAAAGTAAACTTACTTAGGTAGGTTGCCTATATGCTGTGCAGGCCTAGTACAACACCTATTAGGAGGTGAGAGTTGATTCAAGTGGAAGGCTAAAAAAGAGTGAGGGGTAGGCCCAAAAAGACATGGTTGGAAGTAATAAAAAAATATATGGAGACTTAGGGCCTCAGTGAGGGTATAGCCCTTGATAGAACAGAATGACAGACTAAGATTCGTATAGCCGGCTCTAAATAGTTGGGAAAAAGGTCTGTTGATGATGATCATTTAAAATAAATTAATAAAATTTGGGTCGAGTCCAGGTCGGGTCTACATGGACATGGACTCAGACTCGAACCAAAATAGTATTCAGGTCGACCCACCGGGTCTTAATTTTGGACCCATACACGACACAGGTTGGGCCTGCCCTTTGGGTCTTGGGTTGGGTCCGGGTCCATTGCCACCCCTAAAGGAGTGAGAGTAGTTCCACAAAATGTCATTAATCCAATTGTACATCCCATTCTTGGTCCATCACCACATAACCCATTGATTGGATGGTGATAACTTTATGATTATGTTTTGATCTTTTCTGATCAGTGTTCAGAAAGTTGTTGGGCCCAGGATTCATCACAGTCAGCACAGATCTGGAGCCAGGCGATTCCAGACCATAAAAGTATATAGAACCTTTAAAATTTTCTTATTAAAAATTACCTAGTCCGACTCCAACTTACGTAAGTTGGATCAGTCAGACAAGGTCTTGGGCCATTGGCAAGTTGGAGCCCAAGTCTGACTTTTTAAACATTATTTCCAATCGTGACCACATGGATCACACTGCACATTTTCCTACGGTATTCCTTCCTACTTGTTTGTAAGACAACTTCACAGTTCAACCTTTGGACTTTCACGAACATAAACTGGTTGTCTTACCACATACCAAAGAGCTTAAGCAAGTACCTCTTAGCATAGTAGGTGAGGGAACCAGCTATAATCTCAGGCTTCACTCCTCTTGATGTCATGACCGCGATAAGCCTCTTGTATAAGTTCAGGCTTAAGGCCGATACATCCTCATACCACCAATCTGAACTGGGGTTTCGAAGCCTGGCTCCAGTGCTTATACCATTCCATAGGACGCTCCCACCGGGGCTTTGCATAGAACCATGCTCCATCATGGGCCACCCGAATAGGTTAGGGTCAGTGCAAGCCTTTGTGGCCAAAGAGTCTATGCATCGCTTCACTATTCCGAGGTCTCCAGCTTGAGGGAGAACATCCTCGCATGTTTGGAGAGCCCTGACACAATCCTTCCAGCTACGAAGGACTACCTGTGCACAATCATTGGTTGAGAACATGATAAACAATTACATCCATCTTTTTTCTTTTATTCAGTTCAGGATGATAATGCAATCCATAACAGAATGGTATCTGAAAATATATAAGAAGTTACATGCACATGGAAAATAAGATAAAAATTTTATATCTAAGAGTTTTTTTTTTATTTCTACTAACACACCTCTATTTCTTTTAGAGAATTTTTATAGATCTCGTTTTAATATGTCTCACGCATTTTCTAAGGGGAAACAAAAAAATCTTTATTATGTTGCAAAGATTCAAAATTGGTGACTCAGGCTCAGACTCGCCTGAGTCACTCGGACCCAGCAGAGTGCAGGGTCCAGACAAAACCTGGAGACTCAGGAATGTCTCACCAAGTCACTGCCCTTTAATGTAGTTTTCACTGAGACTTGGCTTAGCCCCGCTGACTTGGCCAAAGTTCGAACGCTGACTCAGTCTGGGGATCCTCAATAAGTCCCAGACCAGGTCCCGGCACTTGATGACTGCCCCAAAAATATCCACAAACAAGTATGAACAAGAACCAACTAAGGTTAGTTGATAAGTAAAAAAGCAAAAAAAAAAATCAGCTGGTCTGAGGAAAATACAAAGAGAAAAGATATTTATCAAAAAGGAGAGAAAAGAAGAGAGAGAAGAAAATCACCTGATTGAGGAAAACCTCAGCCTGCGATACCAAATTGGCCTCCCCATATTCTTCAGTCATCTCCAAATAATTAGCAGCACAATAGATATACACAATATTGACAGCTGTGAGCTCCAATTTCACACCATAACAGAACCTGGCTACTAATTCGAATGCTTTTGCACCCCCAGGTATATCACGGAGCTTTATCACACCACCACCCTCTTCTTCTTCATTAGAGAGCTGTCCAATTAGCCTTTCTAGTAACCCACTCCTGGAAAGCAATGGAAACTGCAAAAGAAAAGTCATAATTTAAAAAATACTAAAAAAAAAAGTATATATATCAATGCTGAATAAGATTCAAGGATTTGGACCACATATTGGCTATGCGGTCCAAACATTGTTCTTGGGTCTTCCTCTTTCTTGGTAAGTAATGACTTCAATTAAAGGAATAATTCTGTTACATAAGATTCAGGTAAGGGTTTCCTCCCAAGAAAAAAAAAAACAACGAAAAAAACAAAGATTGATTCAAGTCTGGGTAATATAATATGTCCGAAGACTCTCCCATAAACTTATCGGTTAGTCAGTGAATTGTGGTATTTGGCATGCCAAGGCCACACCCACCATCCATTCCCTTTAATGGATGGTTGGAGATTAACTATAACACATGCATGGCCCTATGGGCCCCACTTCATAGAATAGTTTGTTCTTTTTCTTTTTGACACGAGTCGTGTAGAGAATTTTTCAAAAAGGTAGAGAAAGACTTTGGTTTCCTTATTATTTTTAGGTGACAAGGGGGCGGCCATTTCAGAATTGATAAACAAGTGGGATTTTGTAACTTTCAAAGGGATAGATATTGTAATCAGGCAGATTAGGGAAACCAATCTGCATTGAATCATAACCACCGTATTATTTCAATGGGAAGCCACTCAAAACGGCATATGGAATTCACCATGTGGAGATGAAAGGTCATATCTCCAACTTCAAGGGTAACATCGCTCGGGAGGCCTGTAGTGCAAAACCTGCAAAAGTGCAGAGTGAAGTCACAAAACAAACAAAAAGAATTTCAGAAAATCCGATTTAAAAAAAAAGGAGTTTCAGAAGATCTTGAGTTGGGTACTTTGACCCTAAAATTACTTTGAAACTCATAGAGAAATCAATACAATCAAATAAAGGCTAAGAATATAAACCAATCTAAAAAAATTGCATGAGGCCAAAGAGTAGTCCAGTCAATGTTTGTCATAACTTAGAACTTCAAAACAAAGAATTTATGTTTGTTGTATTCAATACAAAGAAAATTAATGTTTATAATACATGAGAACCAACTTTCAAAAGCTCTTAGAACTAATAACCGTTATTTCAGTAACTACGAAAAACCAATGCCATTTCATAAAGATATACAAAATGAATGTGCTTTTCAGTTCAGAAGTATGTCTAAATAAAAAAATAGCAGCATGTGTATATTTGTACAGCCATTCACTAGCCGCTCCAGACAATGAAACTTTTCAAAATTAACTTTCAGCCGGTCGCTCTCAGTCTATGAAACTCATGTCCTTTTGAGATTTCCTTTATTTATTAAGCAAATCTATTTGAATCATCAATCAAAGATGTGATAAGGTAAATAAAAAAAATTGCGACGAGGAATTAGGAAACATGCAAGATACAAAAGTGTCTTTGAATGAATAACTTAAAAAAAGTACAAAAACCATGAATTAAATTGGAAATACTTTGTATTGCCATTGATGAACAATGATGTTATCTGAAAACATCATGCCACAAACATACTTACATGGACCTTCATAAACATCATGCTGCAACAATTACAGGAAATATTTGATTCCAAGTTCTAAAGGAGGATATTCATTGATCCAGAGGTAAATAAAATGCCATATGTATAACTGATAGCAAGTCCTCAAAACAAAGATGTGATGGATTCAGTCAAATATCCAAAGACTCCTTTAAATGTAGGTTTTTATCGAACCACTCAACTCTTCCCACCAATGAATGAATTACTTTGCTTCATCACCTTCCCCCAGTCCCCCCCCCCCCCTCCTCTTTCCCCATGTTAGGCACACACCACCCATGCACACACACATAGTGCAAACTCATAAAGGAACTTTTATTTTTATTTTTTATTTCTTCGTTTAGAGGTATAATCAACTTCTAGAGTTTAAAATACCATCGAATGTACCAGATAAATACACTCTACGAGTTACATAAACTGGACCATCCAAAATTTAGAAGTATGTGTAGTCGTGGTTAAAATTAACAGATTTTTCCTTCTTTTGTCAAAGTAGTTTGATAACAAGACCGTCAACTATTTCCATTTACAATGGGTGATTTGAATACTTATTCATAAATGGTATATTCACAATAAATAACTTGTTAGAGTCACGGAAACAAGAACCATTTCCACTAATTCAATTCATACTTAGTTCGTGTCTTTTCTCAAGTCTAACTACTCCAAATGCAACAAGATATGATCATGAAAATTCCAGGCTTCAAAGATTAGAATCATATTATCCATAAATACCTAACATTTTATCTATTAAAAAGACCAATTCAAAAATAAACCAACTCCATAGGAAGTCAAACAGAAACCATATTCGGAAAATAAAATTATTGCCAGAACATAAACATCAACAAAGGAACAATTTCCTTTCTAAATAGAAATAAGAAAGATTTTTAAAACAAACTGTAAAAGAACTAGTAAAACCCATTTGCTACTCACATGAAAGGATTATAGAACGAGTTAACATATTTCACAATACGAAAAATACTCACTTACTGTTAAAATAAAATAGTTTACAACATATCAGCTGTTTTATAGGTTAAAAAATATCATATCAGCATATAAAAATAATTATGCAAACAAACCCACTCCAAAAAAGAAGCAGATTTTAAAAAGATACTATGAAGCCTACAAATCTAAAAAATTGAAAAATCCATTACCAGAGCCTTTCCAGAATAAATTGAGAACAATAACAAATAAGAGAAAAACTAAATGTGAAAAAACCTAACCAAACATGATGCAGAACTAGTAATCATCATAAGAAAAATAAAATTTGATGCCAAATGAGCAGAACTAGTAATCATCATAAGAAAAATAAAATTTGATGCCAAATGAGCAGAACTATACAATAAAAAAGAAAAAAGAAAAAAATAATAAATCATTTGGGAAAGATGCAGCACCAGCAAAAAAAAAAAAAAAAGGAGCATAAAAGATACAGGAACCAATTTGCTGAAAAAGTAGAAGTGATCTAAGCATGAACAAATAAAAGAACCAAATTTCTAAAAAAATTCAAAGAGCCCATCTGCTGAGAAACAGATCATCCCTGTAAACAAGTCGTAACAGTTAAAAATGAGGGACAAAAAAAACAACAACAACAGCAACAAAATCAAACTTGATCGTATTGATTTTTTTTTTTGAATCTGATCATCATATGGATTTTAATATGATAATATAGATTTAATCATCGAAAAAAAAAACCAGGAAACATACAAGTAGGAAAAAAACAAATCTTTCACCAGCTTTGATAGTTGGGCCAAAATAACACTGAAAACAAATGCATATTACGTACCAAGCCTGCCCTTGTCTTTGGAATGCATCTTGCTTGGATCCCAGTTTCATACAAGCCATTGACGACTAAAATTACCTCAAAAAGGGCTAAACCAGAAGCAAAATCAGACTAGAAGAACCCAATTTCCCCACAGAGAGAGAGAGAGAGAGAGAGAGAGAGAGAGCTCAATG